GCTTCGCCGACTGGATCGTTCCAACATTCGCACTACGCGTCAGCGACCTCGATGGCCGACTCAGACACCTCTGAAGGAGTCGAGCGAAAGCAGCTTGGTCCTTCAGGAGCCGCGATGTTGCCAACCAGATCGCAGCGTATAGCGAGCGGGATGCCCAGGGCAGACGCTCCTGCAACAGCCAGCAGATCGAAATAAAATCCAGACAGACTGCAGACGTTCTTCAACTCGGCGATGGAACACTTCCTGAAGAAGCAACGCGCCGCACAGGGGACGACAACATTGCCCTTGCTGAGAAGAACGGAGTAGCAGGACGTCGACATGGAGTCTGTGGGAACTTACCACGGAGAGTACGATCCGGACGATCTAGACCTCCCTGCCTCCCACCAAGCGACCATAGCCACCGCCGCTACGACGACTGGACTGCCAGCAGTCACCCCTCGCATTCGGGTGTCCGCCATGACGGAACTCAAAGAGTGCGCCGGGAAGGACGACGACGAGGATCGCGCGCGGGCTTGGTTCAGCAAGGTAAAGTCAGCTTTCGTCCGCGATTAGGCCCCGGACGACGAGAAGTGCCTGGTGCTTGTTGGCCTGTTCACCGGATCAACGAGTAACTGCTACCGGCAACTTAGTCGAACCACGAGGGACGACTGGAGAGAGCTTCTGCGCGAATTCCAAGTGCAGTTCTGTGGACTCGGAGTCTCGGTCGCGAGACAATACTACCATGCAAGGAAGCGAGCTGATGAGACACCGTTGGAATATCTGCACCGCCTGAATGTCGCAGGACTGAGGGAGAAGCTACGCGTGGAGAGCGGCCCATCCGACGTTCGCCATGAGCACGTGGAACATTTCATCGAGACCCTGGACGACCGCGATCTAGCTGATCAGCTCGCGCTGCCGCGTATCTTAGATGCTGACGCGTTGGAAGAAGTATTGCGGGCGAGGCAACATGCGAAGAACCGTCAGGGACGAGCGCAATTCCGATCGAGTACGTATCGACAGAAGGCCACCAACTCCGACCTCACGAAGTCAGCTCCAACGCCCAAGGTGCAAGCTGTTATGACTACGAACCTGTCGGACAGCGACAGTGACTCTGGCCTCAGTGGATCGGAATCAGACGGTGATCTGCGCCGGATCTACTTGGCCGCAACGGAAGGGAGTCGCAACCCCAAGCAATTGCGCCGAATGACCCCGAACGGACCGCGTCCGGCCAAACTCCGCCACCGCGAGACGCGAACCCTGGCCAGAGATCTCCACACGGACGCCCTCAATTCCAACGCTGCATTCACTGCGGTTCACACCGCCAGGATGACCTGCACTGCTGGAAAAGGCTAGCGTGTCAACGCTGCGAAAAAAGAGACCATCCGTCGGATCGCTACCTCTTCGTCTGTCGCGGCTGCGGCGAGATCCACGACGCCGGCAAATGTCAGATGGAGGAGTTCTACAACCTGATCCGTCAGTGGTGTGACCCTGCCAAGCATGGAGGTGTCTTGCCTGAAAGCGCTGAAAAGATGTTAAACTAGGCCGCTCGCCTGGCTGGAAAAATTTTCAGCAGCGTCGGAAGTGAGAGTGCAGTCT